TACGGTAAACTGTATTAATTGGAGCCTTTATTCTAGGCGTAGTGTGTTCCCTAACCATAATGCGCCGACTAGCAAGCCCCTGTACCCGCATATCGCTACTATAGCACTTCCTGCGGTTTATCTCTCTCATCTGCGCATGCCCACTAGCTATCTCCTTTACAGGAGAAATAACCGGGGTAGCGAGTGGGGAATATGTACAGTCAACAATGTGTGTGAGTGCAGGATTGTGAAAACAAATGACACTCAGACTTGGATACAGATCACCTTTTTCTTTATTAGTTTTCCTAATAAAAGGGACCTGGGCATTGAACAGGGAGGAGGTGGGATTCACCCTAGCGTCCTGGGTGGAGAGACCCGTTGAGACGCTTCCTCCCTCCGCCAGTCAGCTGCGTTTTGGCGGAGCTCCCCACCCGGCGGTTCTCTGCTGCTGCTGAGACTGCCGTGGCCGGGCAGCCCGCCCCCGTGAGTGCCGGTACGCTGGCCCCACGGGGCTGGTTGAAGAAGCGAAGGGTGCTACCGGCACGGGACCTTCGTACCGGCGTCTCTCCCTCCGTCTCACCGTTGCACTGCGCTCTGCCGCCCGCGGAGGACGCTGTGACACCTGGGGAGAAGCTAGCGGCAACATGCGGCTAAGCTGCAGCCTCTCTTCCTCCAGACGGCTGAAACGCTGAGTGACCGAGGCTATAGACCCAAAGAGCCCTTCCGTGGAAACGGGGGCTCCAAGGAGATCTGCTCGGTCCTTTTTGGGCAGCGCGGTGAGTCCCAGCCACACATGACGAGACGCCACTGTGGCTAAGGACATCACTCGCCCGGCTGCGGTGGCCACTCCATGGATCAGATTATTCATCTGACCTATGCAGCGGTCCGGATAATCCTCCCCGTCCTGAGACGGGAGAGCGGGGGCGTCTGCTCGAGGAGTAATCAAGGAGACGCCCAACACACCCAGATTATTAGCCGCAGCCGCCATCTGTGAACCGAGCCTGAACATTTTATCCAAATATTCTAAGGCTTCCCGGTCCCGCGGCAGCGGGGGCAGAGGTTTCTTCCCCTCCGCCCAACCAGCTGATCGTGGCAACAGATGGGCCGCCAGGCTCTCGTCGAGGGGGGGCACGCCAGAACACACCGTGTCTGATCGGCCCTGCACCCTGATAATGCCCGACATGGATGCTATGGCGGCCTTCGTCCTCAATGGACGCCGCCATGTCGCCTCCACACACTGCCAGATGTCTGGCAACGGGGGCGAGACGAAAGCCGGCTGCGCCGGAAGCACCGGGCCGTAAAACCCCTGCCTAAGGCGGCTTACAGGCCTCGGTGGCAGCGGTGGGGGGAGCGGTAAGCCTACACGCTCCGCTGCCTGGGTCATCACCGCTGGGAAGTCCAGTCGCGCAGACCTGAGTGCTGGGCCCTCCTGGCTGTCGGACCCGGGGGTGTCGGACAAGGAGATGTCGCCATCCTCCTCCGTGAAGTCGACCACTCGGTCCCTCGGAAGGACGAACTCAAACGGCACGTCCTCCAGGTCATCCATTTCCACCACCTCGAGGTCCACATCCTCTTCCTCTCCGTGCACCTGCAGGCCGAACTTCCTTGAGAAGTACTCCGCACGATGCCGGCGGTTTAGCATCGGGATCGAACAGCAGGAAACACAGGCCGGTGTCTGGCCTGCTCCCTGCTCAGCGTGATCCTGTCCCAGGCACTGGAAACATTGGCGATGCGGGTCTGCTCCCGCAATCAGTCCAGGGCACGACGGGCAACTGCGATGCTCCAGGAGTGGCTCCATTTTCACAACAATATTCTCTATTTCCTTTCTCCCACTTGTACGTCTCGGACTCAGTGCTAGGTTACCACCTCCGCTCGCTGAAGAGTAAAGGATGGTGGTCAGGAGGCGAGGCCTCCTTTTATAGGGAAGTGAGATGCACACGCATTCAGGTAGGCCCGCCCCGGGGCCGGCTACGTCTATAGAAATCTCAGTAGGTGAATGCTTGCATGATAAGGTAGTACCCATAGAGTCCAGTAGAGGGCGGAGCCTGTGAGAGATATAACAACCTGGTACTAAGCACACAGGCATCTTGTTAAAGTTATCTTATCTTAGCTATCTCTATTTTAGTGGAGGAAAACAATTGTGACATCAGTTATGAGTGACATCACTTACGCGACTCTGGGATTTGTAGTCTTTCTAGTTGCGTATTTTTCATAGTCTTATATTTCAACAGTTTTACGACAAACTGTGACTTTTTTGACATGGAAATTATTTTTTAAGATTGACAAACATCATATGTGTAATTCATGGCACAATTCAAACGGGATCGAAAGATAAGTTTTCTCTCTCCATTGACTTTAATACATTATTTTTCCGAAATAAGGTCCCATGGGGCGGAAGTAGATGTAATGGGCGTGACTTCGCCACTCTATACCGGGGGTCTGATCAAAGGATGAAGCTGTTAACGTGCTGCTACCATAAACTGGCTGTAGCCCACAAACTGAAGCAGAATGATCTAGGGCTGTCCCGAATACCATTTTTCGGACTCCGGATATTCGGTAGTAATCAGCAGCGAATATTGGAATATTCGGCCCGCGCGGGGGGGGCGTAGTAATCAGCAGCGAACTGCTTCAACACGTGTATTTCGGTGTATTCACGGCATTCATTTTGTTATTCTACAGTATTGTTGTTTTATAGTTATTTGTTAATGTAACTCAATTTGTGTTCTTTGAAATTGAAAAGGATATCGCATTGCAGCGACGTGCAGTCAATGTAACGGAAAAACAATGAATGAAAAACTAAATAATAATAATAATAAAATGTCTCCACTGATCTTGTGTAAATGTGATTTCTGTATGATTCCAATCGCATTTTATAGTCAAAATCAGCAAATTGGCCGAGCTCCGCTACGGTAGCGATGAGAAGTGAGGCAGGCACGAGCACTGCCTCTCGTAAGCCCACAGTAACTTGCTGGAGCGCGGGCACTAATTTAGCGCGGCCACTTATTTTGTGAGCGCGCTCAAGCCATTTACTGTGGGGTAGGTGAGGCACAGATGAGATCTGCCTCACCTCAGAATGCGTCACCCCACAGAAACTGGGTGGAAAGCGGGCCCTAAGCGCATGCCTGTTCCCATCTCACTGTAGGTCACCAATGTAATGTTTGTAGATCCCTTTATTACATTTATCCTCGCCATCCATAGTCTCTAAATAACTTATTTCACGTATATATGCTATTTAGGCTCGCTACACATATACAACGGCAATGAAAAAATCACCAGGGGAGGCAGCCATAACCTCTGCCGCACTGAAGGGGGCGCACGTGAGCCCACAGGTTCTTGTTGCTACTGTTATTCTACCGCAAACAACAAACTCGACTTTTGAAACTACAGGAAGATAAGGACGACTTTTACAAAACAGTAATAGAGATTGTTGTCCAGAAGGATAGCATGGACTCATTCATCTTCAAGTCAAGGTAAGACCACAACTGTAATGAAAATGGGATCTTACTTAGAAAGAACAATCCAATATTTAGATTTTGGGTATCCTTTTGTTGATCGGTCTGTTTAAAATTAATCATAGCATCAGACTAAAAAAGCTTTTGAAAATAACAGAATATTTCGATTAAGGTCAAAATAGGCTATAATATTTGTAAATCTGACTCTGAAAGAGTCAGTGCCTCACCAGCCATGAACCTCACCGCACGTCACTGTCGCATTGTGTTTGTTACTTTCGTTGCAGTTGTATACGTCTTAAGTGTAATTTGCCTTGGTTTCCTATTTATGGACATGCTTTTATTTTGAAGGAGAGTTAGCGCAGGTGACAGGAAGTTGTTGTTGCTTTGGAAACAACGTGACAGAGATTAACGGAGAAAAGTAATATCTACATATAAAGACGGAGAAAGTAAACGATAACGTTTATGGTTAAGTGTTAGCACCCCCCGAAGAGGCACAAGCTCTTACGTTGATATTGGAGATTTCAATAAATTCAATTTGAAAAAAAAACAACAAAACGAATATCCGAATAACGAAATTGAAACCCGAAATAGTACTCCAACGAACGGATATTCGGGTACAGTAGGGCTGTACCCGAATACTATAATAAAGTTATAGAAAATAATAACAAACTCCAGTGTTAGAATTCCATAATTCCATATTCATAAATAAAATGATATGCAAATAACATTTTCTTGGCTGTGGACTTGTACTCTACATAATTATGTTGAGCTCATGGTAATCTAATTCAATAAACAATAACTGCAATGAACTGATAGCATTTTCTGACTCGTAAAATGATTGGATATGGTGTAATTTGGTAAATGATTCTGTGTTGAAGGCGGGCCATACTATTTTTTTTTGTGTAAATCGATCGAGAGGGGTGTTCAAATAACGTATTTTGGTGTGTAGAACACACATCTATTTAGATTTATTTATTTTGAAGTTGTTGCTATGGAAACAACATGACGGAGAAAAAAGTAATATCTTCTACATATAATAACGGACAAAGTAAAGAATGAAGTGTATGTTTAAATGTTAGCATCCCCCGAAGAGGCTCAAGCTCTTACGTTGAGTCTGGAATTTGACCGTGTAAAATGTCCTCTTGGGTTACCGTACAGCCAATGCGTGACGTCATTGGTAAGCGTAACGGACCCCGAACACATCTGGTAGGCCGAACACATATGGTACTTACACCGGTTCTAAAGGGTTATTCAGTTAAGCCCGATGAGAGCGGATACATACAGCTGTGCACATGTCATCATTAACAGACGTTGTTTAGAGTGACGTTTGCGTGAACGAGGACGTCCCAATTAATACCTGAGGACTCCTCTGTCCTCGCGTCTCCTCCTCGTGTCTCCGGAGGCGGAGCTAAGACAAAAGGAAGGGACGCGAGTGAGGGAAAGGAGGAGGTGAAATATTCAATTGAGACGAGCCTAACTAATTTAATAAACCGGAAGTTGTGGTTGCGACTCCCCATTAAAGCAAAGAAGAAGAATAAGAAGAAACCGGAAGTTTGATGTAACGGATGCGGAAACGGAAGACCAGCTGATCAGCTGGAGGAGAAACGTCGAGTTATACATACTAATAAAACGGTGTTTTGTAGGCTATAAATGACCACTGCGGGGGTTTAAGCAGCCTCTTCGTATACTTTATGGACGGAAGTAACGACGGATATAAGTAACTTGCTTTGAAGTTAGTTTCCTGTAACCCTTTTTGGCTTCCATGTAAACATACCTAACGTGACCGATAGCATACTGTTCTGTCGCGAGAGTCTGTAGCTGCTTCAGCACGCTGAACTGCTGCCTGGGAGCAACGGGCTGTGATGGGAACACAAGTCTCACCTCTTTCATGAGTCATGAATCCCGTCATTAAAGAAATTGATCCGGTTCACAGGTACGTTATGAAAGTTAAATCCATCTGATGTCATACCGTAACAATATAATGTACTGCAAGAAAAGTTAAAAAACAAACTGAGTGATAAACCGTGCGCAACCACCACTGCCCCTTTATTGTCAGGTTCCCTGTGATCTGCGAGGGGATTCATGGTTGATGCTGAGCCTAAAGGAAGGAGTTTACAATGTCACAAAGGTGTCTGTCTTTTGTCTTTGCTAAATCGCGACGTTCATTTAGTGAACCTGTATGGCTAACATTGAAAGGTGTCGAAAACTGATTGACGTTCGCGGAAGACGTTCTTCCTGCCTGCTTTATGTTATATGCAAATGTGTTGATGCTCTTACTGAACTATTGAATATTAAAAAAAATCCGGACATTTGCCCACGCTGGCTCTAAAATAAGCTTTATAAATCGCTGGGATACAGCATAAATTAATATTTGAAAATACAATTATTATTATTATGATTTAAGGTTTTTAATTGCATATGAAATTCAGGGACATTCTTTCAAATTAGATTTAGTCCAAAGTGGTAACACTTGAAAAAATAATCTGACATTTGGATTTAATGCTTGTCTTGATTTGCTGAAGTCTGTTTTACAATTCTGTTATTGCGGCCAATAGAAAACGGATTATAAAATACATTGCTTATCAATAGTCATCATAGAGGATATCCAATAAATAATAATTACTTTTTACTTTGGTTTGATAGATACAAATGCAGTCTAGTAGGAGCAGGTTTAGGGAGTAACGGATTACATGTAATGAGACTATGTAATCAGGATGCAAAAAAGGTAACTGTAATCCCTTAAAATTACAACAAATATGTTATCAGATTACTGTTACATTTGTAAAATGTATGTTGCAACTAGGCCTGTCACGATAATTTATTTTGTTGGACGATACATTTTCCCGGAAATTATTGCGATAAACGATAATATTGTCGGCACCGTTGTAAGACCATTTTAGACCACTGACATAATGATAATATATAATAATAATTCAAGTACATCCTTTCAAACAGAACTTTTTATTGAACATTCAACATTGCAAATGAAATGTGTAATAATATTCAAATATATAAATTATATATAATAAATAAAACAAATTAATTCAATTATTAAAAAAAAATTAAATCACACACAACCAAAACAATAAATTAAATAGACTCAGGCTGGAAAACAGAGCTCTATCTATCTAAATAAATAAATATGAGCACACATTGTCTCACAAGCAAAAAAAAACTCCTTAAAGCAACAGTCAAGTGTACAGTCCACTGTCCATACAAAGACCCAGATGCCTCAACAGGCCATATCCAAATCTGTACTTCAACGTCTTCGAGCAAGGAACACCAACATGTTTGCATTGTCGGTAGGGATGTCCCGATCACCTTTTTTTGCTCCCAATCCGATTCCGATCATTTGATTTTGACAATCTGCCGATACCGATTTTTCCCGATCCGATCTTTATGCAATGCATTAAGAGGAAAAAAAAAGGTAACAGATAACGGCTGGTCATCCAACGCGATGAATTCAGCTATCTTGGCTGTTATTTTTTTGGCCTTTTCACTGTTCTGGGGTAGTTTCTCTTTCCTTTTAAAAGTCTCTGAAAGTGTCGGTTGTTTCAGTGCCGTTACCTGAGTGGCCGCTGTGTACTCGTCGTGTTGTTGTTGGTGGTGTTTGTATTAGATTGGTCATGTTGAACGTAGCTCTGTTCTTTCCACCACGCGGAACCTCCGCCTTGCAAACATTGCATCTGGCTGTTACACTGCCTTCGCTTTCAATTTTATAATACTTCCAAACTCCTGACATTTTCTCTGTCCCGACTCCCGAGTCACCAGCTGAACGTAGCCTCTTGTTAGCTTACTGCTACTATTAGACACTGCGCCCACTCTGTTGCCAGATTTGAGAGAAATAAGCAACCAGGTCTATGAAAACAAGCCCAAAAGAAGCAACACATACATGATGTTGTGTAATTTTAACCCAAAACTAAGGCCTCAGGATGACTTTAAGACGTGAACATGGTCATTTTTGTTTTGTAACATTAAATAAAATGTATAAAAATATTTTATAAAAAAAAAAAAAAAAGAAAAAAAAAATCCGATCCCCAATTTTTTTCTCCCGATCCCCGATCACGTGATCGGATCGGGACATCCCTAATTGTCGGGCAAATGCATCTTTGATTGTAAACTGTCGGGAAGGTGGGGGCTCTCCATCTCCAGCTGCCGTGTTTGCTCCCAGCTGGGAAAACGGAATGGGGTGGTTGTGTTTCAGGTGCAGTTTAAGGTTGGTCGTATTGCTAGCTTTTGTTGCTACTTTGTTAAAACAAATGCGACATAACGGCTCATTCAAGTCCGTAGGTTCGCCACGTTCATTTGGCTTAAATCCAAAATATTCCCACACCGGAGATGTGGAATTAGGTTTCGCAACCAATTCCATTTAACTTCAAATTCCCCTCGAGTAAGTCACACATTGTCTCCTGCTTGTCTCTATATTATTCATTTGGCTGCTACACTGCTGCACGCGGAGTTTCCTGACCTGGCTGTGTGTGAGCCCCGCCCCTCACGGCGCGCCTGGCCGGCAGCCACAGCGCGCCTGGCTAAAATGCTGGTCACAACTTTATGTAAACAAACACGCATGTAAACGTCAATTTATCGAGGTCAGAAAAGTTATCGAGTTCATTTTTATTTATCGTACGATAAGTCAATTAATTGCTTATCGCGACAGGCCTAGTTGCAATACTTTTAAATAAAATAAGATCAAAATATTACAAAGCGCATGTTGTGTGTGCTCAGAGTGCTCTTAATCCATATATACTGTAGTAAACAAAAAATCAGTTTGTTGTAAAAGGAGCTGATTTTATTTCTGCTTTGTGAACTCTATTGTGTTGTAGGTAGGAATGCTCCGATCGATCGGCCACCGATCGATATCGGCCGATACTCACTCTCTGCCGATCGATCGGTGCTCTCTAAAAATGCCGATCGCGAGAGCCGATCGCATGACGTAAAATGCATGACACTTTTCTCTGTGCGCGGCAAAACAAGCTCGCAAAAATGGCTTCACGAGTCTGGCAGTATTTTAAGGTGTCCGAAAATGACAATAAAATAGCGGTATGCAACGTGTGTGAAGCAGAAATCCTGCAGCTCCACCCGCTGTGACGGACCGGTGAGCGGAGCGAAACACACAAGAGTTAGGCCTAACGCACTTAGCTATTTTATCTACCTCTTGAACAAGCTAAACTAGTTATAAATATATTTATTCTTCACTGTCGGGTCACTCATTACTGGATCAGCGAGCTGCATGAGATACTGACGGGCTGTCAGGAGAGAGAGAGAGGGGGAGAGAGAGAGAGAGCGCTTCCACTCATTTCTCCCGTGTTATTATCCAAAGTTAATGTAAACTTGAATAATGTACTTCATTTGAATGTAATAATTATGTTGGTTGTTGTTTGTGGAAGCGCCAGTGAATGATCCCCATTAACTGAGTTTTAAACATCACTTTAAATGGAAGATCCCCATAGGCCCCGCCCAGTCGATCGGATCGGCGATCGGTATCGGCCGATACTGATTCCGGCGATCGGCCCCACAATTGGCGATCGGAGCATCCCTAGTTGTAGGCTTATTCTTTAGGTTGGAAACTATACACCTACTGCCTGAATTATCTTCACGGTTTACCCTTCCTTTGGTTAATTTGTTATTTTTTTATTAATTCAGTATGTGACCCCACACGTTATAAAATAGTGTTTGGGGGCTTAACTGTATTTATTAAACTAAAACAGTTTGCTTAGATGGTATTTGTGCTTGTTACACTGTAGTATGTGCTCATGTGTTTCATTGTTGAACAAAAGCCTGCATTTGCTTTAGGCAGGTTTTCCTATAAGTAAAGTCTCTGATCAGATGACACATAATGAAACTGTGATAATATGAAAAATACAATATATCATCAAATTGTTATGCCTTAAATGGGGAATTTCTGGGGGAAAACGTATTCATGATGGAGTCAGGACAGTGTTAGGCTAGCTTAGCAGGTTATATGTTTCACCCTGCTAACAGCCTTTATACTAAGCTAGGTTAACCCTGTCCGGACCTTAGCCCTGTAACAAACACACACACACAAGCTAGACATTTTACACTGCAGACATCTTGACTTGCCGCTGAATAGAGTGCCACAGTGACGCGTCCTAAAACCCGGAAGTAAGCTGCGTATGGGTTCCTTCGCCAAAAAGCAATGCAATTTCTCCATAGGATTTTGGAAAATAGCTTGAAATAAAGTCTGTGGTTGACACGCATTTAAGAGACGGATCACGTTTTGTTCAGTCCGATAATCTCCACATGTCTACCCTACTTTTATAATTTTCGAATCATAAATCTAATCGATAGATTTATGATTAGAACATTTTAAAACCTCTATGGAGTTAAGTCTATTAATTTAATGCTTTACCTCTGTGTTACGTACCATGACAAGTCGAAATGTCTCCTGTGAAGGAGGCTTGTGGATATCAATCTTCTCGTTTCAATCAAAGAAAGAAATACAAATTAAAAGCAACTATTTCTTGAAGTACTCTGAAATGCAACATTGTTGGGATCTAAACCTGTGTTGTTTTGCAAATTGTATACAAAATGGTGCTGCGTTGGACAAAAGCTTTCATCAATGGAATTTGTCAAATCTAAATGTGTTTTTCAACTTTGAATCTTAACTGTTTTTCATTGACATGTTTCTGTGCCTTTTTTCTCTCAGCAACACCACCATTTCCTACGAGGCAGTACCTGCTGTGGGAGCCGATGGAACCAACATCATGAAACTGATTCCTGTACAAACGGTCAACAGACAGTTTTTCCAATCTCCAACAAGCCAACCTGAAACAGATCCTACACCACAGAGAGCTGAAGCCATGAACATTTCATCAGAACCTATCCAGATGTTTAAAACAAATGTGGAACTTACTAACTCAATGAACAAGTATTTATCCCAGCAACAGAATATAAAGTTAAGGACCATAGCTCCAAGTGCAACTCCTGCAGCTAACATTGGGATGTCCGGAAGAGTTCCGAGTCAGCTCCCAGCCACAGTGAAATCTCTAGAACTCCCTAGAGGACAGTGCCCACGGACTCCCTCTAACACACAAGTCCAAACAGTCCCAGCACCTGAACTACCTAAGAAACAGATTTTCACTTCGTCGGCCAACTCCTCTCCGAGTACAGGCTTGTTCAACGGGTTAACTTTACGCTGTTTCAATCAAGAGTTTGATCAAAACATGGATTGTGCTTTTAACACGCTCCAGTTTCTTTGCAAGGTGGCAGGTAAACATTCATTAAGACCTCGATTAAAAGATTCACCACATTTAACATTGATTCCAAAGGGTTCACAAAAGCCCAACAGCCCCATGAAGTGGGTAGTTGGTGAAGAGGATGGCTCAATAGTTCCAACTCCTGATCCAATTAATTCTGTAACTTCAGAGGTCCTTCGAATTGTTGCAGAGAGAGAAAATGCTAAAAAGCTCTGTGACGGCATTACCAAACCCAGTCATACTCTTGAGCCTGTTCCTTCTCTTGTTGCATCAGAGATTATTCGAGTTGCTGCAGAGAGAGAAAACGCTGAAACACTCTGCGAAGTCATCACCAAACCGGGTCCAACTCTTGAGCCTGTGCCATATTTTGTTGCTTCAGAGATTCTTCGAGTTGCTGCAGAGAAAGAAAAGGCAAGCAAGCAATGTGATGTCATTTCAAAACCACTTTCTGGGTCGAGTCCAGGCACAAGCGTACACAGACAGAATCACAACTCGGTCATCAAAAACAGAGAGGATGCACCACAGCAAAAGAAGGTAGATATATTTAACATTCCTCGTATGGCAGTGCCTACAAGAAACAGTGGGGAAGTAGGGAGAAATCCGAGTCAGATTCCAGTCACAGTGACATTTCCAGCACTGGGAACAACCGTGAGAAACTGTGAGAAGTTAGGGAAAACCCCCAGTCAGCACCCAATCACAGTGAAATCTACAGCACTACCCAGAGGACATGGCCTTCGGAGTCCCCCTGATACACAAGTCGGACCAGTCCTAGTATCTGTAGTACCACCGGCTATCAAGAAACATGTTCCTACTTCATCAGCCAACTCCTGTCCAAGTTCAGGCTTACCTAATGCTGTCAATTTGTCCCCTACCACAAGTGTCAACCTTACTCCACAAAGTGATTCTACACTTGAAATACGCAAGTTTATTTGCAACGATTCCCCAAACAATTCATCTGGACCTCCATCAAAAGATTCAAAACCACACTTAAGATTGATTCAAAGGGTTTCAAAAAGGCCCAACAGCCCCATGAAGTGGGTTGTTGATGATGATGATGATGATGATGATGATGGTGATGGCCCAACAGCTCCAACTCTTGATCCCATTGATTCTTCCGTTGCTTCAGAGATTTTTCGAGTTGTTGCGGAGAGAGAAAATCTTGGAAAGCACTGCGACGTTATCCCAAAACCAGAATCTGGGTCAAGTCAGGGCAAAAATGTTCAAGGACAGGAAACCGTAATCGTTTGTGATGGCAAAGTGTTTTTAGTGGCAAAAAATTGCAGCTTACAATTTGAAACTGGGAAAAGTAACTCGCCCTTGGCAGCAAGCAAAGCATATGAATTCAACAAAACTATCGGACCTTCTTGCCAACAATCAGGGAAGGCATCTGCTCTTCAGAAAAGGGGGGGCCTCCAAATAATCCCTCAAGATGAGTCAGGCGAAGTGATTGACCTGTGTGATGATGGCGCTCACAAGGACTCGTCTCAACCATCAGTTCATACGCCAGGAGTCACTCATCCATTCACCTCCGACAGCAGCAGTGGAATATGCTGTCAAATAGAAAAGGATACCGGCAAAATTGAGGTGAGGACAATTCTATTGCTACATTACATTTTATAGCCCATAGTGTTACAACAGGATTCCATCACATTTTACTGCACAGTTACAATGGAGCAGGCTTATGCATATGAAAAGCCAGTCAGCCAAAAAACCTGTAGTTTTCAATATATTTTTTAATAAGGTAAAACAAATACGGTGCCCCACATTCATTTATGTTGATGAACAAGTCAACATTTCCTATTAAGACGACATTTTCTATTCCTGAGGACTTGCAGTTCAGGGTTCACCTTTTTAATTTAGATCATGTGAATGTGCTCAATCTACAAACAGAAAGACTCGAAGCACAAATGGAGAAGTTGCGATTTTTAGCTAATTCAAAACAACTTCAAACTAACCATCAAGACCATAAGCTCATTAGGAATATGTTATAAATAATAAAGGTAATAAGAAGTGTCATTTTCTAATAGACCTTTATAGAAGCAGACTTCTTTTAGCTGGTTATGAAAAAGAACGCAGGATTAACACTTGCGCTTCACTTTTAATACCCTAAGGTTGCTACTTGATCAATAGGCTGAATACAGACTGAACTGTTTAAAGTCTATGATTCCTCTGATCAATATTTATTGATTACCTGCAACCAAAAAGTGACATGTATTTTTTCATGGCTAACATGGAAACTTAATGTGAGAATCCCTTCAGGTGTTACACGTGGAAATCTGCGATTGGCTGACAACTACTTCAAAACATACCAATGCCTAACATGTTGTTATTGTATTACATTAAATTGCAGTACAGTAAAGAAATGACAAACAAGGTTTGAGTTAATTTAGAAAAAGTGTAACAATTAAAATACCAAGAAATATTATAGGCAGAGATATCACAAATAACACATTTGCATTTAAGGGGCTTTACAATAGAACTGACAAGAACAAACTCCACTAAGTAAACTCAAAACCACAAATGCATGTTTTTACATTTCTGTTAGTGTACAGATTGAGCAGTCCGATACAAAAGGTGAATCAGTTAGTTTGAGAAGTCTTGGTAGTTGTATTTAATGTTTTAGACGGAACCAGGCTAACGGTTTCCCCCTGCTCCCAGTCTGTATGCCAGCCTGATAACGTCCTGACTCCAGCTGTGTAACTTCAGCTGCATCCACGTCATATGCCTTTTGCTATTTGCTCACGGTGGGCCTTGCGGTAAAAGTTAAGTTGTTACCATGGTCACGTCCACTGGTTCTGCTGCTAAATACAGCTGTCATCTGATTGGTCCAGACTAATATCTCAACAAATATTGGATGGATTATTATGCAGATTAAACAGAAATGTTTGGTTTCGTGAAGAATGACTTGTTGATCCGCCGACTCATTTGATTAGGTTTGTAACCAAAAGGTCCTCAAACACTGTGACATTCCCATCAACCTCATCTGTACCTTATGTTTGGTGCTAACTAATAAATGTCTCATTACAAAAATATGCTGATCCTTTAACATTATTGCTAAACATCCGCATTTTTTATTTTGAGCATGCTGACAAAGCGTCTATGCCCAAGAACCGCTGTTGTAGAGACGCTAATATAACTTGTATTCTTCTTTTATGTATTGTTTGAATTTGAAAGAGTTTATTTTTCTTCTCACAGTGCTCTATGAATCCTGCTACAAGTTGGACATCTTCGCTGGCAGCGGAATCCTGTCAAATTGCCGATCCTCTGCTGAGACACATGTTTGGAATAACAGCCGATGTGAAAATTAGCCTGCAGAGGATTGACAAAGACTCGTCTGCAAAACTTCTACTGAGTGAGTCCATAAAGTCGGTGGAGGATAATCAGGAACAAGTGAGCGGGTTGCAACAGGAAGATGTTTCTTTACAGGACCTTTACAGTCTACAAGACAGTAACAGCTGCAATGGTACCGTCAATGTCCCAACAGGGAATGTACTGAAAACTGAACCAGAGGATTCTGACAGTCCAACTCCTCTCTATGCATTGTACTATTCAGGTAGCACTCTGGACAAGGGAACATCATGTCATATTAAAAGTGAGCCAGAATGTGGATATGTGGAACCCATAGATGAAGATTTCCTCAGCACAGATGAAAGCAACATCCCCAACTCACGGGACATCGCTGGCCAGGCACAGACTCCGACTTGTGTGGATCCGAACACAAACACAGGGAGAATGGGAAGAAAAAGGAAGCGCACAATGTGTCCTTGTTGCGTCCCTGCGGGGGGGCACGGTGCAAGGTCGGAAGAGCCCAAGAAGTGGGCATGGGGGACGGCGCAGACGAGTAGAAAAGGGGGAAGAACCAAATTTGCTAAAAAAGTTGTAAAAACATCTGGAAAGATCAGCTGTCAAAAAGTGAAGGAGTGTAAGAATGCTGAGGGTCTAGTGAGTGACAGTGAGACCACTGTCTCTGACGTAGTCAAACTACACGAACAGATCCAAAGACTCAAAGAGCTTCTGCACGAGAAAGAGGCCGCTTTAGAACTGATGACAAACAGCGTGGGCGGGGATCCAACAATTTGAACTCTAATATTCTAGGAAACGTTTTTTTATTATTAGTATAGAATATGTTGTTCTCCCATTTATGTTTGTTGGAGTTAGCAACTGTAAAAGCACATCTAATGTGAGAAATTGATAAATTAATAAGAAATGCTTTAGTAAACAGTCAGTATGGAGTTTATAGTTGGTAACTAAAAAGCTATTTGCTTACTCATTAAAGGAGAGGTGTCATGGCCATTTCCACTGATCATAATTCCATTGTTGAGGTCTACTAAAATAGATTTATATTGTGCATTTTTCCAAACTCACATTGGTTTCTCATACAGCATCTCTGTAAACTACGTGTATTCACTGAATTTCACTATTTGCCTTTAACGGCTCGTTGTAGCTCCAATAGCTCCAGCCCCCCCCCCTCCCTGTGAGCACAGTGCGCTCTGATTGGTCGGGACATTGTGAAACGCGCTGAGCTCCGTGGAGGTGTTGTTTCCTTGTTAGCGATACACAGCCAAACTCATCCTGAGCACACACAAAGTCACAGCCGAAGTAAAAACAATAAGTGTGGCTTGATATTGAGTAAGAAAAAGGTTGATAAACGCTGTGAGAATGGGTCTGCAGAGAGAATGGGTCTGCAGAGAGAATGGGTCTGCAGAGAGAATGGGTCTGCAGAGAGAATTTTGCCGCGATCCCAACTGTCTGTTATCAGCCTGCAGCCAGGGAGGAGAAATCAGCAGAGCTGCCTGCTCCCTGCACACAGATGTGTGTGTGAGGAAGTCCGTGGATCGGTCAATTTGGACCAATCAGCGGGGGCTTAACGTAACGGCTCCGCGGACGTAACGTAACGGCTCTTCGGGATTGGTCCATTTCGTTCCGGGTACCGCATGACATCAGGCGGTACCCGGAAGAATCAAATGGACAATGACGTATCTCCAACGAGGCGTTTTGGGGAGGTATTTTCTGTGTTAGAGTTTTACTCACTACAGGGTGTACTTTGAGGGTTTTGACTCTGCACACCGTTTACATGCATAAAAACCTTCATAACACACAAGGGGACGGGTAATAACCGGAAAAGCATGACATGGGAGCTTTAAGTAAAAAAAAAAATGCTTAAATTATTAATATTTGGATGGAGTTACAGTTTGACTTGTGTTTTTAGCAGCATTGGGGGTGAGGTTATCCTGGTCAGCCAGTCCACCAGTGTTTTGCTCAGACCCTTTTCTCAAAAGGCATGTTATCCCAAACACTACTAGCCAGATCATGGGGTTTTGCTTGCTTAATGTTTTAGATAACCATTACTTTTAAACTGCAAGTTTCCATCATGAAGATGTTGGGCTTCATGTTCAGTCCATCACATGACAGAGCCACAGGCTAGGCCTTTATGGATCTTTGTGTGTGGGGGGGGGGGGTTCAGGGGTTGCAGCAGCACAAGGACCAAAGTAAGCACTGAAAGAGAAGGGACATTTATTGGAAATATATAAGATTAAAGGAAATAGAAACTATAAGACTAATTTACTTTGGAGTAACAAGGCAAGCATTGTGTATATTTGTATCTATCAATGCAGTACTGTTAACATTTCAAGTGGTGGAAAAGTACTCCTTTAATTGTGTAAAAGTAGAAATACTATGTTTTTGAAATATACTCAATGTGTACTTTGTGTAATAAAAGTACTCAGAATGGCTCTTTTTTTTTTTTTTAAACAATATTTCAGAATATTATTTGTTTATAAGCAGTAGCAAAAACATGTCCAATTATTTGAAAGTTGTGTGTAAATGTTAAGCCATTTTTAGAAAACAAAGTAAAAGTACAATTATTGTCTCAAAAGTGTAATGGATATAAGAATATATAGCGTTAAATGAAAAATACTCAAGTAAAGTACAAGTCATTTCATTTCATTTCAAACCTTTATTTATCCAGGTTGTATCCCATTGAGATCATTGATCTCTTTTTCAGGGGAGACCTGCTCAAGTAGGTTCCACATGAAACATAAACAGAACAACAAAAAGGACATCATACAGCATCATTACAGGGATTACAATTTACATAACTATCCACATGAACAGGTACCAACAGCTTCCGATTGAGTAGCATCCAACCGAGCTTTAAAAACATTTAGTGGCACCAGATTGCTCAGTTTCCATTTCAATTGCAGACTATTCCAAGACAGTGGAGCTGCGCATCTAAATGCTATCTTCCCTAAGCCAGTCCTAGCAGTTGGCACATTTAATAAAACCACAGCATGCGATCTCAGGCAGTAGCCACTTACAATTTGCCGTGAAGTATGTGTTATGTATACATATGTTCCCTGTTCCTTTCCCCCTCCAGTTTCTCTGCACAGGTGTGTTCAGCAGCCGGAGGGAGAGGCCTCTGCCTGGGACTGCTGTGTTTCTGCCTCTCATCCCAGGATGGACATTTCTACGCTTCACATGTTTGATTATAATAAATGTGTGTTCTATTTGGGTCAGTGGTGTAATTTAGTTTTTTAAGGGCGTAACATATGTAAAAATAGTACTTGCTTGAGTAAATGCACTTTGTTACATTCCAACAATGGTTATCAAAATACAATGAATTGTTCTTCAACTGAAAGTGAAAACTAAATAAAATGCACCTTCGCAGCCTTTTGCAATATTACTTAAGAATACTCTTTCGAAACTAGAAGTAAGACTTAAAGCTGTAAAGACCTCCAGAATAAAACAAATTAATTTAAGTACTATAGCTTCAGTACTTCAATTATTTCATAATGTCATACCCAGTAATGGATTGTGTTACTGGTTCCAAAGAAAATATGAAAATGTTATGCCACATGTTTCTTGTTAGCTGTAATTGCTGCAAACAACAATGCAGTCAGAGCTGTGTGTAATTTAACCGTATTTCCTCTTTGTTATTGGACAGCCAATAAGTCAATACACATCACCTGACTATCATAACATCGACTGTAGAATGAGTAGTTTATATAATTAGGGCTTTACATCTGTTTCATTGTTGCTGACTTTATATATGGGCCAATGTGAAGGACACAATTGTTTGTTTTAGTACATTAGGCTATAGGCCTAGATTTTTGCATATTATGTTTGTGCTCTGAACAAGTTTTTTTAGACGGTTCGTTTATGTGACGCTTTTGTTCTGAAGATCACGACCCGGAAGTTGTAGTTTTTCCCAGAAAGTAAAACTGCAACTGAACATCTCTCAAGCTGGATCCGCTCACCCATAAAGGTATGAGCAAAGATATAGGGCCTTTCCTATTCAGATACCGGACAAATTGATGTGTTGCATGAATTTGTTCACTGTCGAAGATATTGTTTGTTAAACTGACGTGGTACATTTCGGTAACAATGGCGATAACTCCAATGGCGTTAACGCATGTCGAAACTCCAAACCCCTCTAGCTTTTCACGAGCCTTCTGTTTGAAAGTCTGAGCTGTTAAAAGTTTTAAACGTATACAACGATCAGGGCTTTCCTTCAGTCGTTCACTTCATTATTTTCTAGATGGAGAAAAAATAAGTAGGCTACTGTTTTAATTCAAATCCGGAAGCCATATAAACCATTTGGCGAGCTCCAGTTTAATACGGACGTGGTTCTTTTCAGGTGTGTCAGTTTACAAGACAGGATGACCAACTTGTGTACCGAATTAAATGCAAGTGTACTAGTTAAAGTCGTGAATGAAAGGTTAAAGTAGACGCCGCACTGACAGTTTCCTGTATCTACGTTTGTTTTTTCCACTGTCCCTTTAAAAAATCCGTCGGCATGTCATTGAAAAGGTTCCAGATATTGACCGATTATTTGACCTTTTGGTAAAAAAAAAGCTAATATTGAACAAACTCTTCACAAGCCACATGTATAATACTGTATATTATGAAACTAAAATGTATTATTTAAATCGGAAAATAACCTGTCAAGGTCACTCTCGCGACATCTAGCAAAGCTGCAAGTTATGGTTAGTCTACCATGTAAAACCTAACATCGGTTGCGGTCGAATACTCCAAAAAAACAGCTCCTAAATTCTAACCCTATCGTCTATTCCTTGACCTCGGAGTGAAACGTCATGGGGTTAAGGGATAGTGGATAGGAGAATTCAAAAGGATTTAGGAGAAGAGACTGCGGTACTTTAGAGAATCCGACTGCACTTTCACTATCCGACGTGTTTATGATGCGCCAGCAGAGGTCATAAATGTGCGCCTGCTGCTGTGGGGAAACTACAGTTTTCTATACAGCGGACTACAACATGGATGTTTAATAAGAACGAGGGACTACTGTAAACTCATCTAGAGACTCTGCACCGTGCTCTGATGCTGTTGTTTTATGCTTTATGAACGGGGACAACAGAGAAACATATTCTTCATGACCAAAGTTGGAATTTAAATAAAAAAGGAAAGTGAAACTTATGCTCGTCACCCTCTCCCTCCGGTCCACATTAATACAAATGATCCCAATACGTATGATTGTATGAAAAGATCTTAAAATCAATACAAATGTATTTATTATAAACGTTAGTCCTTAACATCTATCACTGTGTATATCACCATTCAAACATCTTTTAAAAGTTGAACAAACCCCACACAGCTCAGTAAAGACTGAAATGTTGACTTTATTTGATCATTTCAGTAAAAACTAACGTTCATATTTCTCTTTTTGATTATAATACTGATGAATGTTCAAAACAAAGCACTTTGGCAACTTACCACATACGTTTTAAAATGCTTAATAAGCACCGTAACTTTCATGATATCATTTCTCGTTGATAATCGGTTGTTTCCGTGAACGGCCGACTGCTGTGTGACGGCAAATGCCGCGGCCGCAAGGCATTGTGGGGCAGCATTTTCTCCTCTCCTTTCGGTTACGGAACGTCTACACAGCAGCGTTAAAAAAATCTTGGAGGTGGGCGTATCTGAAGCTTGAGGATTTTTTGCGAGCAACCAATCACATGAATCTCCCGCCCGCGACATCCGAAGCAAAAAAGCCCGAAGTAAACTGGATATAAACTCCCCAAAACAGGCGAAAACCTACCACTGTCTCTGCCACCTCCCTCCATGCCTGGCTCCTCTGGTTTATATCCCGGTAGGTCTGGTCATAAAGCACCGGGTGATTGATTCGCTACCGCTAATTTCTCCTCCATTTTTTGGAATATGAGGAAATGACCTGCGGTATGTCTCTCCCAGCATACACGCCGTTTGATTGGCTAGAGCTTGAACGGTCAGATTTGCGTACACAGGATTTGATTGGCTGCCGCTTCCACCTCAGCCTCAAAAGTTGAACATTGTTCAACTTTGAATCCTCAAAATCCTGAAAATCTCCGCTCGCCTGCTCACAATGCATTTCGGCGAAAAGTGAGGGAAAGTGGCGTCACCCCATTCAAAGTGAATGGGCAGAAGCGTTTCAAGATTTTTTTAACGCTGCTGTGTAGACGTTCCGTTAGGGAGGTCCAGTGGTTCCTAAGCTAAAGTAGGTTATAAAGGAAGTTTGAAACCTCCTTTCCTTTTAATTTAGAGAATTCGAACGGCACTTATCATGGCTGCCACTGAGGGACTTCCGGGTCATTTCACTCCGTTAGGAAGGTTCCTAAGCTAAATGGACTATTCGACCGCAACCATCGACTTCTCCACAAAACAGCCATGTTTGTTAGCTTTGTAATGTTATATAAATACATTAACCTGTGCACATTTAGAAGAAAGGAAAAAACGGTAGGCTACTTGTGGGTTATCTGTTGCAACGTACCATTTATCTTGTTTGAGAAAGTTTTGATTGTATACCGCTGTTTCTGTGGAGATTGCTACAGTGTAAGCCAATAATTTCTTAAATATTGAGTGCTACATGTAACTTCTGAGGCCCCGGCTCCACGAGGACGAAAACGGGTTGAATCCGCATATTTCTCATGCGTATAGCCCTCTAAGCTCGACGACGCCGTAAGGGAAACGTAGAAACAGACCCCGCAAACGACAACGGGTCCAAAGGTGGATAGATCTGGGAACGGAGCGCTCTGGGGGGTCCAACGGGGCCGTGGAGTCGCCTATACGGTCATTCGTTTTCATAGCCCCGCCTCTCCCCCGCAGGGTTGCTATCGTGCTCCAGTCGCTACTGACCATGCTACAGTTCTTTGTGCAACATCTACAGGAGCTCCTCCTTGAATTCAGATTATTTATCTTTATCTCGATATGGACATAAACGCGAGTGAAGTCTAATCTGACAGGACGGAGACACGCAGCTCCTGCCGCTGTGATGCAGCGGGAGCAAAACACACACTTCAAGTCAGATCATCACCCTTAGCTATTTTAATTACCTCTCAAACTACCTAAACTAGTTATAAATATGTTCATTTTTACTGTCGGGTCACTCATTACAGGATCAGCTGCTGCATGAGACAGACACTGACGCTGTCAGAAGAGAGGAAAAGGAGACAGGCTCCGTGTATTTGATGATTATATATCATTATATCGTCGTTATTCATTTGTTTTAAAGCTCAATAAATAACAATGAAGACCTTTGACCGGCACTTTTATAATTTTGTCCGGAAGATTTAAACTTTAACACACGCTGACCGGCGAAAAACTCTGCCCGGTTCTGTCGGCCCCCACCGCGGAGAATACACAGAAGTGCAGCCATGACAACCATTCTTCTTCGCTGCTTTTGTGGAGGAAGTTGCTGCTTTTGTGGAGGAAGTTACAGCGCCACGTACAGGTTCGGCATATGTACTGCAGCTTTTCCAGCGTTTGGATGTAAACGGAGCCGTCTCGTGGAGCTTGACACAATCCGGTGTATATTGCGTGGGGACGGAAGGTTTTTTGCGGTTGCATTTGCGTTACTCCGATGCGTTTTGCCGTATTTGTCCTCGTGGAGCCGGGGCCTGAGTCCTGCAGGGTTTCTGTCTGGTATTGATTTAAGAAAAAAAAAAGACCAAATGCTGAATTATGGGTCGGAAAATGTAATGTAAATGTTGGAAACATGTTGCGAAGCTGTAGAAAAGCATGGTTCTCAAGACGCATAATTTTTCTTAGAAAAAAAGCAAGATTTCAAACCCATGTCACTGTTATTTTGACAATCTGTAATTATAACTCTGAATGTGTACACAGGGAAATACAGAGCATGGATCGCCTTAAAAAACTGGAAATCTACATCCCATTGGAAGCTGAGGTGAAAAGCATCCCTCTGTCAAGCTTACCAAACCACGTGATTAGACGAATGGGCCTCCCCTCAGACCCCAGGCCTCTCTCAGACTCTCCAGAAGGCATATGGATCCATCCAGCAGTCATACGGAGGAAAGGCCAGAAACTCACCTCCCCCACAGGAAACGGTGAAAACATGTCTTCACTGCTGGGCAAAGAGATCCGGGGTGATTCGGGTCCCTTCGAAATGTCCTTTGTCTCCGCCAACCGCACAGCTTACCGGCTGCTGAGGGACAACATGCCTGGGAAAAGCATCTCCGCAGACACAGCACACGCCTACCCATTACCTCAGGGCTCAGCACCACAGATGTACAAGGATGCTGTTGTCATCTTCCACGGACGCGTTTACCTCTCCAGCAGGAGTCACAGACGGAGACGTAAAGGGAAACATGAACCACAGCCAGCCTCCCAGGCTTCCATTCCTAAAAATAAGGTAACTTGACATCAGTTAGTGATGACATTTTCAACTCACACCGACAAACACATAACAACAATTAATTACTAGTAATTAAACTAGGGGAGACATGGCAGGTTATTTGACACAATTTAGGTTTTAGAGCACCTGGTTATGGCCCCTAGACCCATCTAAGAAACTGGTGCAAATTTGTCACGTCACTATGACTCTTATACGAGTACCACAATCAGAATTAAGTTTCCCTTGTACACAAGAAAACATCAAAATCTATTTGAAAGTTTCAAATCACTTTGTTTGTTCATTTACCACAGAGGATTTAAATTACTCCTCTAGCTCCCTCCGCAGGACAATTTTTGTATTTTTATCTCCACTTTTTAGGCTCTCAGAAAAGCTGAATCATCAGTATGTTGCTTGTTCCGTTCTAAACATTTTTTATTTGCAATTCATGTTTCAACCTTGACCTATACTAGAGGAACCTAAACCCTTCTACATTAATGATGCCTATCTTTGAACTTGCTTATAAAGATGATAGAACATATTTTTGTCTGTATAAAGTTTTAAAGCGGAATATTTAGTGGCAGTAATATTGATCTAAGATGTTGTGTGTCCTCCTGCAGCGCCGGTCTCCCCAGGCTTCTCTTGAACAGGCAAATAAAGAACTACAGGGAAATAAGTCCTGTTTTATTCGGCCACAAAAATCTCCAAAACAGCAGGAGGATGTTCTCACAAATACAGATAATCATCCCTCCACAGACCAGGTGAGTAATATAATAATCAAACCATCAAAAAAGTACTTTTATTTGTATAGTTATTTACAAATGAAACAAAAAGTATGAGCTATTCAACAATAAGGTTAAATAAAGTGAATGAAAAATGCCTTCATGTTAATGGAAGATCGTGCCAGCTCTCTGCAAACCCTTCCATTACAGTTCAACTGAATTTGAACTAGCATTATTACTTCGCAAGATTTTAGGTGGATCAGATTGAAATGTATGCAAGGAAATACAGAGAAAAACGCACAAAATGAAAAATAAATGAGCAATTTCAGAGGTTCTCAGGGAAATAAAGCTTGTTGAAGAAAATACACTTTATATAAATATTTGAGGGTTCACAGTATGTCCAGTAACTATGTAACCAAGGTGGAGCATGTCAAAAGAGGAAAGAAAATGGCCCAAGCTTTGAGCCATGGGGTACACCATTAGCCATTTTGTAGAAAAGGACATTGAGCCGCCACGCTCCTCAGATAGATCTCTGCCAGAGAAACAGGGTTAGAACCACTGCGAGTAAAATGTTGATATGTGTAAACTTAATCTACTCACTGACAATATAACATAACAAAAAGGACTTGGGTCTCAATCAACAACGACCTCATTGAAATGTGTCGTACGTCTACAGTTTGGCAGTTGTACCTTATGTTATAGTCCTCTGTATCAACTGTGGATTTTTGGTTTCAAGTACCTGTACTAAGAAACCTGACAAGTGCACACAAACCTTATGTGATTCCACTTTGTATTTCCTTCAGGAGCTGCTCCACGAAGAGAAGAAGAAAAGCACCACATGTAAAGTAACACAGAGTAAAAAAAAGAAGAGGAGTGATGTATCTTCATCCAAAACGGCACATTCAGTCCTTCAGTCCTCTGCCGTTGTGCACAAAGTGGACAACCCTTCTCATGGGGACACTGCAGCAGACCCAGGGCCGTCCTGGCTTCAGCCTGAGTGTGAGACACAGGACCTGGGCAATGAAGAATCCCACTGTTTACAATTGGACAGCAACGCTAACAACATGGCTGCTACTGAAGAGCAAAGTAGCGAGTTTGATCTGTTGGCTAAAGAGGAAGAGATCTCTCTGCTGCAGGCTAAACTCAGACGGCTCTCAAAAACCGGCCCTCCCCTTTCTGAGTGATGAATGAACGGTAATTAAACCGAGGTATTTACTCTCAACACTAAATGTGTTCACATGTGCATTAGTAACAGGGAAATCAATAATATGATTAAACCAGGATTCTAGTGTGCATGTAAACATACTTGATGACAAGACGTTTTGAAAACTTGTCGTTTTCTTGACATTTGTTCCAGAGGACAAATGACCTCGGATCGCTCCTCTAGTCAGGTCACGCCTCACCTCACTTCTGTTAGAAATTGCACAAAGCTCCACTGAAGACTCCACTTTGGGTCATTGTGGGGATCTTTTGCTTCTTAAGGCCAATGTGTATAACTATTTTTATTTGATTTGATCTATTATATGACTGTCTTTTAGACAAACCCACTATTTTGTACTGGGACGCATCTTTTTCTCAACCCCATTTATTTTTTCACTATTCATGGGCCTTTTTTTCAAAAAGCCTGGATATAGTTTCTCATCTGGTGAGCTATCTGGCGTATCTCAACCATGGCCTTATAAACCTTATATAAGTGCCACTCTTTTGATTTATGTCTATAAAAAGTGATATTGTATTGAACCTGTTGTTGAGTTGGCTTAAATCAATCTCTTACATTTGGCTCATGTTTGTGGCTCTGATGGAATGTTATTTGGTTTGAAATGTGTTTGACTTTTGAAGGTGTGTGAGTGACTGAAATGAAAACTAATGCAAAAATGTTCTGTTGCTTTTTTCAAAGCAGCGTTTAATAGAGCTGTGTACTTTATTTAGAGAAGCATTCCGCAGATGATCTCCCAGATGATCTCGCAAATAGTGCGAAATACATTTGACTGTCTCTGATGCCTTTAAATGAGATTGCATCTTTTTATAAAACTGCAGGATTAGCAATGAGCCAGCTGCAGCAGTTTTATTTTTGCGTAAGAACTGTGATCGTAAAGTCACATGACTTTATGATTTGATCAGTCTTGGTTGACATAATGAGCTAACCACAGACTGCATTTGGTATCTGTTTTGGAGCTTTACATTGCATTTGAAGAACTTCTCGCCCATGATGGCATAACAACGAGATTTTTGACTAGCGGATCTAGAGTTTGCAACAATATGAAATATGTTGTATTTCTGCAATAACTGCATCAATACTGTTTTTATGACACGGTAACAAAGTATAACACGGAAAATGTGATTCAAAAAATAAATACTCACAATAACATCCCTAATATGGGCTTAACAGGTCTCCACCGGCACAGTCCTGTTGATGTTTTTGACTTATGAATTCAGATTTAGCTGCTGTTGGCCTAGCATTAGCCTCAGTCTGATTGCTAGCCTATTAATTCAAATTTAAACCCTCACCCTCGACACCGCGCTTACTGATCAATACACCGGCCAGAGTGTAGTGGCCCGGCAGAGAATGGAAGTTTGGACACATTTCTGTTTCATGTTTCTTTGTTTTGTTTTGTCTATTTGCATGTTTGTGTCACGCTCTCAGGGCCACCATACACACTTCACTTGTATCCTATTCAGAATGGATAGGACCAAACATTTCAACACATTGATAGAAATGAGGTGAACAAAAAAATAGAAATACTTGCAGTATAACTTATATAACGCAAGGTATTTATATACAGTGGAGGAAATAAGTATTTGATCCCCTGCAGATTTTGTAAGTTTGTCCACTTACAAATAAATGAACAGTCTATAATTGTAATGGTAGGTGAGAGACAGAATATCAAAAAGAAAATCAAGAAATTGACATTATATAAAAGATAAATTGGGAAATAAGTATTTGATCCCCTTGCAACAAACAAGGATTCTGGCTCCCACAGACCGGTTAAATAAGTAATCTTCCTTAAAAAAAAAATACTCCCAATATCAACTAGTTACCTGAATAAAAGACACCTGTCCACATAATCAATCAATCAGATTCCAACCTCTCCACCATGGGCAAGACTAAAGAGCTCTCTAAGGACCTCAGGGACAAGAATGTAGACCTGCACAAGGCTGGAATTGGCTACAAGACCATCAGAAAGCAGCTTGGTGAGGAGGAGACCACTGTTGGTGCCATTATTCAGAAGAATAATGTGTGTGTTTCTAAATGGAAGTAACACAAAATGAGCATCAGTCGCCCTCGGTCTGGGGCTCCACACAAGATCTGGCCCCGTGGGGTATGATGATCATGAGAAAGGTGAGGGATCAGCCCAGAACTACACAGGAGGAACTTGTTAATGATCTCAAGGCAGCTGGGACCACAGTCACCAAGAAAACTATTGGTAGCACACTCAGTGGCGTTTTTATATGTACAAAAGTGGTGGGGCACAAAAAACTTAGATGTCTATATATAAGCTTCTGCAGTGACGTGCAGTGAGGTTCATGGCTGCTGAGGCACTGGCACTGACTCTTCAGGTTTACAAATATTATATTTTGACCTAAACCAAAATATAATATTATTTTCAAAAGCTTTTTTTGTCTGATGCTTCGATTAATTTTAAACAGACAGTTCAACAAAAGGATACCCAAAAAATGTAATTTTATCATTTAAATATTGAATTGTTCTCTCTTAGTAAGATCCCATTTTCAATAAAATTGCGGTCTTACCTCGACTTGAAGATGAAGTCCATTTGCCTATCCTTCTGGACAAACATTTCTATAACTTTTTTGTAAAAGTCCTCCTTATCTTCTAGTAGTTTCAAAAGTCTATCATAAATCTAATCGATAGATTTATGATAAAAATGATAAAAGTAGGGTAGACATGTGGATGTTATCCGGCTGAACAAAACGTGCATTTATCTAACAGGTACGTTTCCCACAGATCTTATTTCGAGCTATTTTCTAAAATCCTATGGAGAAACCTCATTGCTTTTTTGTCGAGGGAAGCCATGCGCAGCTTACTTCCTGGTTTTAGGACGCGTCACTGCAGCTCTCTCGTCTCCTCTTCACACACCACACTTTTCGCGGCACATGTACTTACAGCCAATCAGCTCTGAATGATGTGAGATGACGTATGGTGGGGATGGCAGCTCAGTGCCCCTATGGTCATTATTTTTTTGCCACACACATTAAATAGGAAAATACTCTGAGCATGCGCAGTGTAGTTTTTACAGTCACCGTTCACTTCACAGCGAAAGGGAGGGGCATGATCAGGTTTTGTCCCACATGGCTCTAAACAGCTCAATAGGCACACACTGTGACTGTAGACACACCAATTAGAAGAACACAGACTAAAACAGCAATGTATAGACGAATCAGATGATTAAACATGATCTTAAAATATATTTTATTTATTTTCTTTTTTCAGTTTTGCATTTTTTGTAATCATTATTTGTAATACTTTCTGCTGACACTAGGTGGGGCTGTGCACCTGCCCCTAATGACCAGTCGCCACTGAGCACACTACACCATAATGGATCAAATCCTGCAGCGCCTGAAGGCCCCCCTGTTCAAGAAGAACATGAAAGGCCTGTCTGAAGTTTGACAATGAACATCTGAATGATTCAGAGAAGGCTTGGGAGAAGGTGATGTGGTCAGATGAGACCAAAATGTTGATCTTTGGCATCAACTGGACACGCCGTGTTTGGAGGAAGTGAAATGCTGAATATAACTCCAAGAACACCATCCTCACCGTCAAGCATGGAGGTGGAAACATTATGCTTTGGGGGTGTTTCTCTGCTAAGGGGACAGGACGACTTCCCTGCATCGAGGAGAGGATGTACGGGGCCATGTACCGTAAAATCTTGGCCGATAGCCTCCTTCCCTCAGCCAGGACACTGAAGATGGGTCATGGAGGGGTCTTCCAGCAGGACAATGACCCTGAACATACGGCCAAGGCAACACAGGCGTGGCTAAAGAAGAAGCACATTCAGGTGATGGAGGGGCCTAGCCAGTCTCTGGACCTTAATCCCATAGAAAATCTGTGGAGGGAGCTGAAGCTTCCAGATGCCAAGCATCAGCCTCAAAACCTGAAGGATTTGGAGAGGATCTTCAGAGAGGAGTGGACCACAATCCTTCCTGAGATGTTCACAAACCTGGAGACCAACTACAAGAAGCGTCTGACCTCTGTGTGTCCAACAAGGGTTTCTCCACCAAGTACTAACATATGTTCTGCAAGGGGATCAAATACTCATTTCCCACAGTTAAATGCAAATAAATGTTCATCTTTTATATAATGTCAATTTCTGGATTGTCTTTTTGATATTCCTACTCTCACTGTTTATATAAACCTACCATTACAATTACAGACTGGTAATCTCTTTGTAAGTGGGTAAACTTACAAAATCAGCAGCACTGTAGCACCTTTCAACACAAGGCTATTCAAAGTGCTTTTTAAAAATGAAAGACCTTAAGAGCATTAAGAAATAATAGTGCAGCAGAAACATATTATAAAATGGCATTTAAAAACAGTATTGAAAAAGCAAAGACAATAAAATAAACATTAAACAAGCTAATATAAAAAATACATGAATTAAAGTTACAGTGCAGTGTAAGATAAGAATAGTTCAATTAAAAGCATAGGCATAAAGATAAGTCGTAAGTATTAAGAGTTGCAGCGACCTGCAGGATTCTGGGAGTTTGTTGCAGATATTTGAAGCATAATAACTGAACCCTGCTTCTCCATGTTTAGTTCTGACTCTGGGGACAGAACCCTGCTGAAAAAACCAGCTTAGACCAATTTAGCTGGTCAGGCTGGTCAACCAGCCTGACCAGCAAGTAGATAGGTTGGCTGGTTTAGAGGGGGTTTAGCTGGTGGCTGGTTTAGCTGGTGGCTGGTTTAGCTGGTGGCTGGTTTAGCTGGCACCAGCTAAACCAGCCACCAGCTAAACCAGCCATCCTGGCCAGCTAAAAAAAAACAGCATAGACCAGCATGCTGGTATGCTGGGCTGGTCACCAGCATCCATCTATCACCAGTTTATGTTTAATAATAGTATTAAATATACCATGCTGGAAGCTCAGGATTCCAGGTGACCAGCATACATTGTTTAAATACTGGTGTGATTATTTAAACCAGAGAACATACATATATTACAAAGATTCATTGTGTCATGTATTCTGGTATCTACCAAAATAAAGACATTGTATAGTGTTCATTACAGTATTTTTATTTAATAAATAGCAATAAATAGCTAGTTAATATAATAAAATACACAGTAACAATACAATAATTATACAAATAACAACCAACCTGCAAATCAACCTACACATCAAAATAAATATATTATCTAAAACAGGTGCATTTGATTTAATAAAAGTAATAAATGGAATACAATATTTAAATGGTAATAAAAACAGAACACTATGTATGATAAGAAAAAAGGCAACAAAGAAAGTGTTTTTAGTTTTTCCTTGTTCATGTCCATAATGTTTCCCGTTGTGCAGCGTCCAGCCTTTCCCAATCTGGCCTGCATTTATGTTTGGTGAAGCCACTTCTTGAAGCAAACTGAAAAGAAATGTACAGATATAATCAGACCCGTCCCAGAAGACCTGAGAGAGTTCTGGATCGTTCATCATTTAGCAGGAGATTATAAATGTATTTGGGCCCTAAACCATTGAATGCTTTATTTCAATCAGGAGAGACTAGTTTTGTAACAATATATATTTATTGCCAGAAATACACAGATGAATGTAATGGTGTTTGGCGATTAGACCCCGTTGTGCAGGAATATCACTCGGGAGGGGGGAAACCGAGCCGACAAAACCCCCCCGGGGTCTATTCACCGGTGGTGGTGGAGCATGAAGGGGATTGATGGAGATCGGTCTGAAGAGGAGTGGTTTAGCTTGACCTTGGATTTGGAGGAACGGGAGGTGGAAGGGGTGGAAGGGGTGGAGGTGGGCTGCGTCGAGTCACCTGAAATGACAACTGTGAGGAGGGGAGAGAGCATATTTAAAGGTTTAGCAATGCGCTATGATAGGCTTGTGGGAATAGAGGCGAAGTGATAGGTGTAGCTGGGGAGTGACGCCCCCGATCACTGATTGAGAGGGGTGGGCGTAGTGTTAAGCATATTTGTATAATAACAAAGTCATGTTTCAGTTCATGTGTATGACATCATCAGAATGTGCCTGAGTAAAAGAAACGTGGTGATGCTAATGAGCATGCGCAGATACAATAAACGGTCCGTACTCCAGGCCAAACTCTGAGCGATGTGGTTGTGTGTTTTTTCTGTCCGTTAGCACGGACTGTAAAGACACCATTGCAGTAGTCGAGTCTACTGAAGATAAAAGCATGGACAAGTTTTTCCAAATCCTGCTGTGACATTAATCTTTTAATCCTAGATATGTTCTTTAGGTGATAGTAGGCTGATTTAGTAACTGTTTTAATGTGACTGTTGAAACTCAGGTCAGAGTCCATGACTACACCTAGATTTCTGGCTTTATCTGTTGTTTTGAACATTGCAGACTGAAGCTTAGCGCTAACTTTTATACGTTCTGCCTTGGCTCCTAAAACCATTACCTCAGTTTTATCTTTGTTTAATTGGAGAAAGTTCTGACACATCCAGTCATTGATTTGTTCAATGCATTTAGTCAGTGTTTGAATTGGAGCATAATCTCCTGGTGAAATTGTTACGTAAATTTGTGTGTCATCCGCATAGCTATGGTAACTTATTTTGTTGTTCTTCATTATCTGAGCCAGTGGTAGCATGTAGATGTTAAAGAGAAGAGGCCCCAAGATGGAGCCTTGAGGTACCCCACATGTCATATTTGTCAACTCAGATGTGTATTTACCTATAGAAACAAAGTTTTTTCTGTCCTTTAAGTAGGACTCAAACCAATTTAGAACTGTTGCCGAAAGTCCCATCCAGTTTTCTAGTCGGTCTAGTAATATGTTGTGGTCAACAGTGTCAAACGCAGCACTGAGATCTAATAATACTAACACTGAAGTTCTGCCACTGTCTGTGTTTAAGTGGATGTCATTGAAGACCTTTACAAGAGCAGTCTCAGTGCTGTGGTTTGGACGAAATCCTGACTCGAACACATCCAAAGAGTTATTTAAATGCAAGAAGTTACTCAACTGTTGAAATACAACTTTTTCAATGATTTTACCTAGAAATGGCAGGTTTGATAT